ACATGGGTGGCAAGCCACTCCCATCTGGTCATATGGGCGGCAAGCCACTCCCACAAAGGAGGCCACACCCACAGAGTAGGTTCGAACAATTTTTGAAACCCACCACTGTGCCACACCCACCAAGCCATGCCATGCAATGCAATGCCACGCCCACCAAGCTAAGCCCACAGAACTGATAGTAAAAAAAAATGAATCCCACCATTGTATGATACCTTTATTTTTAAAACATATTTGCAACTGAGGGTCACAGGGACAAAGCACCAAAGCTATCATATTAAATATCTTTGTTGTACAATTTATGCATTCATTTGCAGTCACAAATATGATCACACACTTTCTTTCATACACTATTAATTGAATAGGCATGGATCATGGGAAATACACTACTGTTGTTATTAACAGCAAAATTAATAGGACTGTATTTTAGATATCTACAATAAAAATTTATATCCAACATAAAATGTCAAAATTTACAGTCATAAAATTAGTGGTTTAACAGAATTAGAATGTCATAATAAATCTAAATATGAGAGAGGGGGTGGAGAGAAAGAGAGAGAAGTATTAGTTATAATTAGACTGATGTATTACAAACTGTCTAGAGTCACTGAAAGCTGGGTAGTGTAAAAATGTAATAAATAAAAATAAACAACCCTATTGCTTTATATTATGTAAATAAGGATGACAAACCTGAGTTTAGCATTTGCTGAGTTTAGTATGCTGTTTTTCCTGTTTCATCCCACAGCTATACCCTTGCTTCATCCATAAACGATACATTCTTCAACTATAATGCACCCACAACCAGCCAAAAATTAGGAGTTTGGTAACATCTTTTTGAAATAATACATTTTATTCAAATTTATGCTGTGGTGAACTTCAGCTGACTTCATCAGATGTTTCTTCAGGTTAAATACTACATGTTAATAAATTTTCTTGGTTGGGAAAGATGCTTCGAGACTCCAGATTTTCTGCCCTCCCAGATACTCCCCTCCTTGTTTCCATAAATTATGATTTTCTCAATTTCCAATTTAATAATGTGCATAATATTCTTTGCACAAGGGATTGGCCCAGAGATTGTATTCAGCAGGTTCTGACCAGTTCTGGAGAACCAGTAGCAGAAATTTTGAGTAGTTTGGGGAACTGGTAAATACCACCTCTGATTAGCCCCGCCCCATCTATTCTCTGCCTCCTAAATCCCATCTGATCATGAGGAAATGGAGATTTTACAGTATCTTTCCTCTGCCATGCCTGCCATGCCACACCCACCAAGCCAAGCCATGTCCACCAAGCCATGCCCACAGAACCAGAAGTAAAAAAATTGAATCCCACCACTGGATTGGCCTCAGCCAATAGATAGACAGTGTATCGCCTACAGACAGCAACCATTGTAATTTCTTAATAATTTTTGTTGTTGTTGCAAGAGTTCTAACTGCAAAGAAATAAAAGTATGTAAGTTCTCAGATCAGCTGAACAATCTAAAAAAGTAATTCCTGAAGTCCTGCCCATTATTCTGCATGTCTTTCTGATCCTTTTAATCTATTCTCCCATGCTTTGCATTGAT